GGTCACTGATACAGAGCAATCTAGATTGCTAAGGAAACTGGACAAAAGCAGACAATACATATTTTAATATAACTAAACAGAAAAGCATATACAGGCAGTCCCCGGGTTACATGAATCCGACTTACATCAGATCCCTACTTACAAACGGGGTGAGGCAACCCCGCACTAGCTGCTTCCCCCCAGCAGACCAGGGAGACATGAAGCTAGCGCCCCCCCCCCCAGCAGACCAGGGAGATGCGGAGCAGCTTTTCTCAGCAGACACCTCAGCTTGAGAATAAAGGACTGAGGGAAGGGAGGTGTGGGAGAATAAAACTGAGCTCTGGAGAAATGTTTGGCTAGAGTTTCCCCTACAATATGTACCAGTTCCGACTTACATACAAATTCAACTTAAGAACAAACCTACAGTCCCTATCTTGTACGTAACCCGGGGACTGCCTGTACATCCAGGAAGCAATGACTCAGAGATTTGGGGGACGGAGCAAACAATCACCCGAATAAGTTCCCAGTCTGATGTGATCAAAAGAACTAACCGTATATAGTCAAATATAAACCCATTCGTTTATAAGTCGACCCCCCCCCCAAACTTAGAAAAAAATGGTAAAAAGTCACTGACCCATTTATATACTGAATTCAGAGAACAGACATCCAAGTCCCAGATCCTCAGAGTCACTGACAGGCCCATAAGCAGGTGTGGTACAAAGGGTGCAAAAGCCCCCTAGCCCCCACAATTCCCTAAGTAAGCATGCTTCAGGTGGCCAGAGGAAGGCAGAAGCAGCATGCTGCCCAAGCCTCCCTCCCCCATACTCTAGCCAGCCAGAGAAAGACTGGGGCTGAATTCCCCACTTACTGGGAGTACTATGGAGGATACATTCACATACTTGTGGTCCACATTTACAAAACAATCGCGCACACACACACCGCAGAAATTGCTGCATATGGGCCTGACTCAGTTTTTAACATTTCCTGAGCAATGGGAAGTAATGCAGGCTGAAGGATTTGCTCATTGTTAAAGTGTTAAGTGTTATCAGTGCTATCAGTTAAGAGTCTCTCAACTGAGAGGCTCTGAGCTAGCAGCTAGCAAGAGATTCAGAGGGGTAGACTTGTTAGTCTGTAACTGGGGAAACTTAAATACAATAACTTCAGGGGATAGCCCACTTAAGTCTGTTACAGAAAAGAACAACAAATGGTCTGGTAGCACTTTAGACTAACAAAATATGTAGAGGATATCATGAGCTTTTGTGGGCACAAGCATCTGGTCTATAAAGTGCTACCAGACCATTTGTTGTTAAAACAATGAATAGTCTAGCAGCACCTTAGATTGGTCAGCTACTGATTTTCAACTCATGGTATAACTGCCATAAGTTTTATGCTTATGATACTTCAATAGACACAATTTATTGCAAAGAAAACTACTGTCTAGGAGAGATTTGAGAGAAAACTTTAGTAGCAAGGGAAATAATTTAATTTAGACTCAAATTATAAAAAAGGCATACATTCCCTAGTTAGGAGTGTTTCAAAACACTAGTACAAAGACTGATGCTAAAGAGCATGAGTAATCAAACATTTTTCAGAAGGATATTTCTAGAGAACTTCATTTTTAAAATGCAAGAAATAGCAAAGCAAAAAACTCTAGATTATACAAGTATTACAGGAAGACAAAACAGATCATCCAAGATCTAATTTCTTATGAAATATGTAATAATTTTACATATTTGTTTATAGCATTCTACTGAAAGTACGTGAATGCTCATCGTAAAAGGAAATGATTTTTTGAAAGAGAATCAAGCATGTTTATATGCAAAGAAATTAACATTTAACAAATAGAAATATTTGGAGAAATGGAGCAGTAAAAAAGTTTCTAAAATTTGTTTATAAGACCAAGTATTTTTTTTGGAAGCTTCACCTCACTTTTAGCACTTTATACAGAACTAGAGCACAACACATATTAACCAGAGATTAGATATTACCTCCAGAAACTGCAACAGAAGCAGCATCCTTGTTATGCTCTGAGAACAAAAAACTTGTAACACAGCTCTGTTGCCAATACAGTGGTAGACCTGCCACTGTGCACTAGGGGCTAAACTCAGATCCCATACCATCACCAGAACTGTGTAGTACCATAAAGATCCCTGAAACTACAGGAGGGGAGCTGCAAAGAGAGTCCTGAAAAAAAATGACACTCAGAATTAAAAACTAGAAGTTTAGGTGAAGCTGACCGTTACTTGATTGTGTTTGTTATATGAAAACTGAATGACTTCCAGCAAAATATTGTTGGTGCTTTTAAAGGCACAATATCACAAAATGAAATACTACTAAGTCAAATCAGATGGAAGAATTCATTTCAAAAGAAAAAAACACAAACAACAGGGAACTCTTTAAGATCATTTTATCAGATGTCCAAAAAGTCACAATTAAGATACAAAGCACATGGGCTTAAAGTGGAAGCGAAAGTACCTATAAAAATGGTAACTAAATAAATTAAAAAAGGAGAAGCTGGTAGCAATGGATATAAATTAGAAGCTAGCAATTGTAGAAAACTTATATGGAAAGTAAAAGGACAAAAATCTACATTCAGCAAAATTAAGGATAATAAGGAGCTATTCAAGCATGTTAGAAACTAAATGAGCCCTAACAATGGCACAGTCCATAACTAGATGAAAATGTAAGAAAAGACTGAAGTGTTAAACTACATGTTGTACTTAGGATGGGGTGGGGAAGTTGTATTCTTATACGAAGCAGCTATAATTTCCATTCCAAGGGCTTATCTAGTCTACACAAAAGTGTCGAAAGGTACTCCCCCTTTTTTGAAAAGCTGCTTTTCCTCAAAAAATTAGGTTTATGCAACTTTTCCAAAAAGGGGGGTTCGCTGAAAAAGCCGAGTCCAAACTACTTTCCTGCAGAATTTGCATATCCTCTTTCGACACTTGCATAAACTAGATAGGCCCCAAAAGTAACTTAGGTGCATATTAAACAAGAGTCTCTGAAGTTAAATACTTTCATGTCAGCAGGTTTGGATACCTTTCATCCAACAGTTTTAGGCGCTAGTCACGGAGTTCCCTGGACCATTAATGCTTCTTTTCAGTAAGTCTTCAAACATTACGGAAGTTCCAGAGGACTGACAAAGCAAATGTTCTAACAATATTTTTAAAAGATAAATGGGATGACCGGCAATAATAGGTCTGTCAGCTAACATTGACCTTGGCCAAACAAACAATAAGGAGCGAGAAGAATTAATAGTTAATAATGTTACTAAAAAAGAAAAAAAGATTAAATAAATAATGCCAATCATCAGAGGTTTACGAAAAACAGATTGTGTAACTTGACATGTTTTTGATTAAATTAAAAGTTCAATTGATGAAGGTAACAGTATTGTATTGATCTAATAAACTTCTATAAGACATTTGACTTGGTACTGCGCCTGACATTTTTATTAAAAACTAAAATGACTCAAAATAAATATCAGCATAAACTAAATAGATTAGAAACTGGCTACCAGGTCTCAAAATTTTAAAAGGGGGAAATCATGGTTATTTTGATGGGTTTTCAAGAGTGTCCTGTAAGGACTGGTTCTTGCCCTTATGCTATTTAACATTTTTTGCACAGCGACTTAGAATTAAAAGCCATACTTGATAAAGTTGCCAGATGACTGGAGAAGTAGTAAATAACAAAGAGTGGTCTGTGTCAGAGACCTGTTATCTGGATTGCTTGGTAAAATGGGCATAAACCATCAGTGTACATTTAAATATAACCAAATCTAAGACCATATATTTAGGAACAAAGAATGCAAGCCATCTCTAAAGGATGAGGGACTCTTATCTTGGGAAGCAGCAACTTTGAAATGAGACTCATGGGAGATAGTCAGCTGAAGGATAGTTCCCTCTGCAACTCTGTGGCCAAAAGAGCTAATGTGATCCCACTGATGTACAAAGAAGGGAATATCAAGTAAGAATAAATGATCAATACTGTATTTTGTACTGGTGCAAGTAGTACTAGAATTCTGTGTCCTGTTATGGTGTCCACAATTCAAGAAAGATGTTGGAAAATGGATAAAGGTTCAGAGAAAAGCCACAATGAACAGAGTGGAAAAAACACATGGGGGGGAGGGGGTCAATCTAATTTTCTTATCAAAGAGAAGGTTTAAGAGTAATGTGATCAATCTATAAATACCTACTCGAGGAACAGAAATTTGACACTGAAGAGATTGTCCAAATAATGGGCAGATTTAGATTGGAAATAAGGTACTTTTTTAAAAAATGGTGGAAGCAATTAAAGTACTGGAATATACCTAGGGCTGCGTGGTCCTTTTAAGAACATAAGAACTGCTATACTGGGTCAGACCAAAGGTCCATCTAGCCCAGTATCCTGTCTGCCAACAGTGGACACACTTTACATAGTCGATCTAAAGGTAGTAAAATGGATGTTCCCATTCTCCCTGTTCCCAGTTTCACAAATAGCAAGACTCTCAGATGTAGAATATGCTGCTCTTTGACTTTTCAAAACTCAGGAATGGCCAGGAGCCCATGGATAAGACCACCAACAGGAGTGGAGTATGAGCTCCACTGAACAGAACACTGCTGAGCAGTTGCTAATAAGCCTACTGATTAATGTCTACTTCCTACCTCACCAGATTTGGTCATCTCTCACCATAACTTATCTTCACTCCTTTCCCAACTACATCTTGCCCTTTTTGTCCAAAACTACTCTATTTTTATTCTTCTTGCAACAAAACAAGTAGCCCTCCCTGCCTTCAGCAGAAGTTTTGATTTCTGATTTGCCATTTCCTTTTATCCAACTCCTGAACTTCTATCTATTTCAGCTTCCAAATTTAGGAGTTCTGCAACTCTCTCTACTGCTCATTTCCTTATTCAGTCTTATCACTCTCTATCCTAGCAGCTGATCAGTCTAGAGCTAGGATTGAATGTATAGACAGATCTGTTTAGATTGCCATTATAAAAGCAGGACAGTTTCCAAAGTCAGAAAGACTCAGCTCAATTACTTACCGAAGGCACTGAAAAGCTGGTAAAGATCACTAGTCTTCCACTCTTTTGGAAATGTAACATGAAGAACATGGTCTCGTTTTGGCTGCACTGCAAAATAAGAATGCATTTAAAAATGCAATCAGGTATTCATATAAGTTTGAATTGTTCATTTCAGAAAAAACAAACGTATGCTCTAACAATTTTTCATAGAAAACTGATACGTGATGTTCAAAATTATATGCAGTTAATGACGGGAGTACCATTACTGTCATTCTGAATGAAAATTTCAGCTTAAATCAAACTGGCCCATTTGGGATGCATTTGAAATAACTGTGTATGCAGCAGTAAATGCTCACAAATCATGTATGTGCATTTTTTGCCCAGAATTGCTCTTATGTAATTATGAAAATCCAGTCTCTTACATCTTTTCCACCAACTTCAAGGGAAACTAAACTTACTCTAAAACATTTTTTAATTGTGTTTTCACACTGTACCAAAAATACAAATTAGAACATAAAACAATCCTCCTCATGTAATTTATCCCATTTAAGTTAAAATTGCAAAACCAAAGACCTGTTCCTTTATATTAACAATAAAAGTGGAGGAACACTGTAGGATGGAAATGATAATTATACCAGGACCCCTACCCATGCCAGGAAAATTATCTGGCTATTAGTAAATTAAATACCGAAATAGCAAGTGCAGGCTTTGACTGAACATACACCTTTCACAGGACTCTTGCCGTACATTTACTGAGTTTGTGCATGATTGTGACAAAAGCAGCTTTGTTTCATTTTCAGACACTCACATTTGGTAATTTCCTCATCCCAATAAAAGAAAAAAGAATAGGATATCAATACTTTAAAGAGGCAGATAATTTATACAATTTGCCATTTTATATATAAAAATCCAGAATATATTCTATTTGGCATATATCCTTGATGAAGAATTACTGAACATTGCCTGTTTTACTTTATTGATCTCTCCTTGCCAATTTCAAGGTCTACTCTCACAAAGAGTAGGGAATTGGTCTGGAAAGACTATTATTGGGATAACCTCAAGTGGCAAATATAATCCAGTGATGCCAACTTTCTGATTACTATCTGCTACTTCCTTCCAAATCTATAACATTCAAAGATTTAATCTAATGTATTATTTTGGGTTGGTTAAGTCGAACTCGGGTGGAAAGCCTTGCACGTTGGAGCTGGATGTGGCCTCCAGCTTGCCTGGATCCAACACCTCAAGGCTCAGAGCTCCCCTCAGCATTGGGGAGCCCACACTGGCACTCCAGTCACCTTCCCCTTACCCTGGAGCTAGAATACACAAAATACTACTAGCCTGTCGTCCCGTCCCCCGGCTCTGGTGTGTGAGGGGAATGCAAGGAATGCCTTTCTCCTTCTCAGTCGTGGGCCATGTCAGTGAGGATTTGTTTTTTATTTTTTGTTTCTCACTTATATGTAGCCCCTGACTGATTTTTCTGTGGGTCAGTGACCCCCAACCCAAAAAAGGTTTTCCACCCCTTGTCTAACTCTGCTCCAAGTTGTTCAGGAGAACACACATGAGTTAACATTACAGACTCTGTGCTATAAACCAGGAGTGTGAAGTTGAGTGCAACTGCCACCACTGCAAAATTGTGCTAAGGCAACATCTTAGCATTTCTGGTATCCTCTCCATGAGGATCCTATTAAGAATTCCTTATAAATCTGAGATTTTAAAAAATAAGAGCGAGTACCTTAATTTAAAAATTTAACTTTACTTTGGTCTGTACAGTACAGAAATGTACAGTTGTATATTTTAAGCTTTTGTTCGTCAACTTTCAGGACTGCTGATTATAAATATGTATTTTAATCTTAAATATATATTTTTTTAATTTTAGCACTATTTTACATTAAATATATTACTTGCTAGTTTCTGATCATTTTGGCTCCCGCTACACTGAATCCTGTACAATATAAGCCTTGTCCCTGACATAAGAAATTTAATCAAAAGATTTTCTACGAGGACAAGTAAATGCTATGTGCACTGATTTTAGTGTGCTCTATTAGACACTAAAATTGGCCCGGCCATTTTGAGCTAAAGGTTGGACCTCCCTAGTCTGGTACCCCTGGGAGCTGAGTAGTCCCGAAGAAAGGAGTTTGCCAGACCAGGGGAGATCAGGCCTGGGGCTTTCCCAGGACTTACCTCTTGTCCCTCAGCCCAATCAGTATGCCACCCCAGGCCAGCTGCTGGAGCTCTTATCAGGGTCAACAGCCCCCCTCTGGCTGGCGGGACTCCCTGTTCCTAGCAGTCAGCCCTGCTCTGACCCAGGGGGCTTGCTGCCCTTGCTGGCAGTGCTCAACTCCTGGCCAGAGGGGCACTCCTTCCACCTGCAGCCAGTCTGCTACACCAAGTAGAGCTCAGCTCCTAGCCAGTGGAATGCCCTTCCCCCTCGCCCTGCCCCATCCCGAAGGCTCCACTTTTCTGGCCAGCGTGGTTTCCTGCCCCAAGCCCTGCTCCTAATGGCCACTGCCATCAGCAGGGCTCTGCACCTCCAGTTACCAGCCCCACTCCATCTTCAAGCATACTGGCCTGGCTCCTTGCCCTCAGGCCATTGGCCCTGCAGGCTGCCAGGCTAGATGAGCTCCTAGCCGCTGGCAACCTCTGTGGCTTGCAGCTCTCTGGTCCAGTAACCTACCAGACCACAGATGTTGCTGGACCAAGAGAGTTCTGGACCACAGAGGTTCAACTTGTACTATAAGCATAAGGTATTAAAAATCCTAGCACAACCCAGAGAAGTCACTACATATGGCACAAAGGCCAGCTAGTTCTGGAAAATACACTTATACTGGCAATTTAACTTCCCCTTCATAATGCAGTGCTAATGGAAACTACAGACCCATATAACAAGCAAGTCAATCTGGAGTGAAAAGAACAGGCTTAAGCACAAAGTATCAACATAACACTGATCAATGAAAAGTACAGATTGTGAAGTGTGGATACTAAGGTATATCTGAAAAACATGTTCATCTAATTAATTCATGTACAACAACTTTTCTCTTTTATGATAAGATATACAGAATTAAAATGAGGGGAATTTACAGGTAACATTGGATCGTGGCAACAAAAATCCTTCTACACCTTATATTGGCTGTATATTGGTTATTGCTTTTTCTATATTTTTGTAATTAAGATGGCCACCAAAATCCACAATTAGCACCTTTGAACTGATCCTTCTAATCTGCATTTAAATCTAGCCGTACACTTCCTAGAATAGAGCCAAGGCTCCGTAACTCATGTTCTTCAAGATGTGTTGCTCATGTCCACTCAACATAGGTGTGCGTGCTCACCACATGCACTAGTGCTGGAAGTTTTTCCTTAAGCACTATCTGTAGGAGCCAAGGTCCCCTAAGTGGCACACACATGCCACACTATATAGGGCACTCCCTAGCCTCTCCCACCTCAGTTCCTTCTTGCCAGAACTTCAGAAAGGAAGAGGGTGGGAAGCTGAATGGACATAAGCAAAGATGAAATAAAGGGGATGCACCCTGGTGCACTGCTCAGGTAAGAGCGGGCTGCAATCCAGCAACAGTCTGGGCGCTTGATCTGGAGCAGGCAATTTAAAGATGCCTGATGAGAGCACATTGTAAGGGAGGTGCCCACACTCCCAGCTTGCTTATTGTGTGGTCATGGTGGCCCAGCCCCACTCCAAGAGGGGGAGCAGCAACAGCCCCTGTGCGGTTACAGCAGCCCAGCCAAAGTCCAAAGGCAGGCCCTGGGTCTGGCCACAAGAGGGGCTGGGGGCAGCTCTGCTTTGACTTCACTCCTGCAGAGGGCAGAACAGACTCCTGTCTTGCTGTGGCTGCGGTGGCCCCAGCCTGGCCACAGTCTAGCCTCCATCTTCCATGGAAGGGGCTGGCGACAGCTCCACTCCTACCTCAGTGGGGTAAAGGGCAGAATTGGCTCCTGTCCCGCCACAGCTGCAACAGACCAGCTATAGCGCCAATCCTGGGGCATGCCCTCCATGTGGCCTCACCCCTGCCACAGTGTGGGGGGTGGGGAAGCAAATTAGCTCCTACCCAGTTGAGGCAGCCCGGGCTTGACCCAAACCCTGGACAAGGCCCTGTGGTCTGGCCCCATCTGCCAGGGGAACGGCTGGCGGCAGCCCCATCCCGCCATGGTGGCCTGGCCCCGCACCTGCTGACACACATAGGAGAGAAGGGGTAATTGGCCATAGTGATCCTGGCTTGGCCCCTGTCCAGCTGCAGCAGCCTAGGAAGTTAGCCTGACTCCAGCCCCTCCCCCCCCCCCACACACCTCCTCCCAACCCCACTCCCCTGGCC